CCTCAGTAAACACATCACTGGGCGTAATACTATCGAGCTCAACGTTCAAAAGACAGTTCAAGGTAACTGAGGTGTAAAAAGTTCCAAAGGCAAAATCGAGGCAGCAAAGGCAAAGAAGAAAGGAAGCAATATCATAAAGCCTGAGAAAAGATACAGAAATACCAAGCATCGTGCAAGGCCTCTTCACCATTAAGCCACCTCAGCGCTTCCTCGCCCTCTTCTCCTCCATTGTCTCCCCTTCAAGGTAGAATATTCCTTTCTCATCTCTTTTGCCATCTCGTTAAAACAAACAGAAAGAACACAAAAATCAGAATATAAAATCATGACATGCAAATCTAAAACATCTAAAACATCCAACCAGTTTAAGGCATTTCGTTACCTTGATTTACCGTCGCTTGGACAAACGTGAAGAGGGGAGAAGAGGTGGTAACGCTGGTGGCTAAGGCGAGAAGCTCGGGTTCCTGAATCCATGGGCAAAGAGCGAATGATCGAAGAAGATGAACGAAGAACAATGAACGAACGCGCCGCTGTGCAAACCCTAAAGCCTTTTGTTCCAACTGAACAATAATTCCAAACCCTAAAAATATTCTGAGTTCAACGTGGGCCTTGCCCATTCTACACGCCCCAAAGCCCATTAAAATGTTTGCTTCTTTAAAACATTTCATTTAACACTAACTTTTTTTTTTATATAAAACAATATTTTCTTCTTTCTTTTTATTTATTCTTTATAAAAATTATATTAATAATAAAAATACATTTTTTCTACATCATATATTTAAAATTGAAAAATACCTTTCCATTCTTTTAATTAAAATATATTTTGTACATACTAAGTAAATATACATTTTTTGTATAATTTAATTTCTTAAAACATTTTAATACATATTGAAATACTAAACACATAAATAATAAAATACATTTTATTGCACCATAATAAATATTGAAATTAATCGTCATTTAATTTGTTTATAATAAATATTGAAAATACTTTTCATTCAATTTGTACATATCATACAATATTAATTAAAATTGAAAATACCTTTTTCTTTTAAATATTCTTTTTGTACATAACACATGAAAATATACTTTTTTATACATAACTAAAGCCTAGAAATATTTTCTTGAAACATCATTTTCATAATTTAATTAAAACTTGAACATTCAATTAAAACACATTTCTTTTGTACATATTAAAAGCATACAAATCAAAGATTCACTAAACACATATTTAGGTCAAATATCCTAATCTTCATTAATGTCACCTTGTCGCACATGTAAATAATCACTTACACAATACATCTCACACTTACACTTACACAAATACATTCACATTGCCCCTATACACACTTGTTTATCTTATACGTTGATATTCGTTATTTACATTTGATCACAAATTCGATTTGGTTGTAACTTATTGGATACTATAAGTCTCATCCCCATTTGTACATTTATACCCCCACTCCCGGATACTATTTGTAATAGCGCAGACTTTACATTTCCGCAATTTACAGTTTTCCAATTATACCATGGTTAGACCTAGAGTTTGCATGTACATAAAATCAAACGCTAGATAACCTAATGCAAGACAAATACATGAAATCAATACACAATCACACTTGCACCCTCTAGGGTAATCCCACATGTTGCCTTCCAAAATGGGCCATGCTTGCACGTCGAGAATCTTTGGCAAAACAAAATCAAAATGATCATAAGTCCCTCAAAATGTTGCCTAAACGGAATGATCATAGTCCCTTCAAAACAAATTGCCGAAGACACTTGGCATCATTGTATTCATGGTCCATACGACGACCCGCGCCCGTCCCGAATAAACTTCCTAAATGCAAGATTGTCCACCAAATCCAATGGTGGAACAAAATTGTTAAAAGGGGTTAAAACATAACAAAAACCTTTGAGTACAATAGGGTAGACAAAACTCTTAGTTACTTGAGATCAACTTGCAAAAACACTTGCCTTCTTTTCAAAAACCACAATCCACAACACTTTCAAAACAAACTCTCAAAAACATTTGAAACATCTTTTCGAAAAGATACACGCCTTTGTAAAATATTCGAGTAAAGAATTGTTACAAGGTTAGCCTAAGACAAGGCATCTTCTTCCAAAATATTTTCAAAAAGCACCCACGCACCCACCATTTTCAAGCAATCGAAAATCAAGGCAAGTGATCTAAAAACCAAGTAACTACGAGCCCATGGATAACCATGGATGAAAAGGGTGCTAATACCTTCCCTTTTCATAATCTACCCCCCGAACCCACGAAATATCTCAAAAGGTTTTTGTTGTGCTTTTTTAACCTTTCCTTTAGGATAAAATAAAAAGTCGGTGGCGACTCTTGCTCAACCGCACAAGTGCGAATACGAACGCAAAACACTAGCCAGTTCTCCCACCGTATCACACTATCGAAATAAAGTGGGCGTTCAAGTTGAAACACAATATATATGGATTGATAGCAAGACATAAAGCAAGATTAGTAGCTTGAGGTTTTCTTCAAAGAGCAGAACTCGACTAATCTGAAGTATTTGCTCCAGTAGCAAGATTGGAGACTATTCGACTAGTGATAGCATTGGCATGCAACCAAGGCTGGTCGACATTCCATCTGTGAAATCCGCATTTCTGAATGGTCCTTTAGATGAAGAAGTTTATGTCACACAACCTCCTGGATTTGTGATTTAGAAGGAAGCGAGTAAAGTATATAGATTTCACAAAACGCTCTATGGCCTATGGCATGGAACAAGAAGATCGACTCATACTTAGTCGAATTGGGGTTTGTCAAATGCAAATCAAAGTATGGTGTCTATGTTTAGGTTGTAGAACAGGATATAACAATCATCCGCTTATATGTCGATGGCTTGCTAGTAACTGTAAATAGTTTGGAGAACTTGTCAAAGTTCAAGGAGCTGATGACGAAGGAATTTGAAATGTCAGATCTGGGAAAATTGTCTTATTTTCTAGATATGAAATTTTAAATGTCGAAGCCAGGAATGGTGCTACATCAAAAAGTATGTCAAAGAGATATTCAAGAGATTCAGAATGGATGATTCAAATCCTGCAGCCTCATCCGTCGAACCAAATGTGAAGTTGGAGAAGAATGGAGAGGAAGGCAAAGTCGATGCAACTTTGTTTAAGCAAATTGTGGGATCTCTGAGGTATGTGTGCAATTGTCAACCTGATATATGTTTCACAGTCGGATTAGTAAGCAAATATATGAGTGAACCAAGAGTATCACATATGAAGGCTGCAAGAAGAATCCTGAGATATTTGAAGGGTTCAATAAATTGTGGAATACTATTTCGACGAGATTCTGAAGGAAAAGAAGCAATCGTTAATTATTTTTCAGATGCTGATTGGTATGGAGATAAGGAAGATCGAATAAGCACAACTGGATATTTGTTTCTAGTATTTGGTGCCCCAATATCACGATGTTCAAAGAAGAAACATGTGATAGCATTGTCATCTTGCGAAGCTGAATATATAGCAGGATCCTATGTTGCTTGTCAAACAATTTGGATAAGATCAGTACTTGAAGAAATGACTGTCGAAGTGAAGAAACCTCTAGTGTTGCAAATTGACAACAAGTCAGTCATAAATCTGACGAATAATCCATTTATGCATGGAAGGAGTAAGCATATTGAAGCTAGATTTTACTTCCTAAGAGAAAAGGTAAATCGAGGTGAATTTGAAGTTATGCATTGTTCAAGTGAAGCACAGTTGACCGACATCTTCACCAAAGGATTGAAGATTGACAGATTTTTGAATTTGAGAAAGAAATTAGGAATAGTTCAGATTGACTATTTTTAAAGATGTTCAACAACTTGGATTATGGGTGTGTGTTGAAATATTAAATTAGATTTGTTAAAATATTAAATTAGATTTGATTTGATTAGATTTAATATTTAAATATAATACAAGTTGTGTAGATCCAAGCCTAATTAGGATTGTATATAAATAGTCTCCGTCTATATCATTATTTGTACAATTCAATAATACAAATCCTTATTTCCTTATTCCGTCTCTATTCTCTCTTTTCTAAAAGTGCCTCACACACTAAGAATTTCCAATGCAATTTTAGTTTTTATCTTCCAATTATATTCTCTAATTAATACTCCTAATTTACTGTTTGTCTTACCTTACATTAATAATAATTTGAATACACTAATAAGCAAATATGATAGGTTGGTAAAATTGTTATTTTCTCTATTTCATTTATCATATTTTCTTAATCGGTGTGAAAGTGTAGAATGATAAATATTTGAGTTATTACCACTTTTTTCCCTGTCATATAGGCCACTTTTAGTTTACCTATAATTTTTTTTTTTGTAAAAATAACCTTACTATTTTAAAATACTAACATTTTAATTCCTAAAATCAAAATTCACAGGTAAATTGATAAGTTTCTGTAGATTTTCTTTCGGATTTACCGCAGATTTTAACTTTAAATACTAAATTATTAGTTTTTTGAAATGACAAAGTTGTTTTTGAAAAAATAAATTTTACGAGAATAAATCAAAAATGATTTTCATGACAGAGATAAAATGATAATAATTCTTAATATTTTAAGACGAAAGGAGTATTATTTTCATTATTTTTTAATTTAATATTTTAATTTATTTATAATTAAAGTAAATACACCAATTTAAAAAATATAGTATATTATTATATCTTTTATCTATACAAAATTTCTAAATACATGAATACATAGAAAAATAAAAACATAAGGTTGGATAAGTAAATAAATACAGGAAGTGTTGAAATAATGTCGACATTGCAACAAATATGTCATAAACCATGAGTCCACTCCCTCCGAATCCCAAATATAAAAACATGGTATATGACATCATATGTAGTCATTTTAATATATTTCACTTGGTACTTTTTAACATTAAAATAATTTAATGATTCTCAAACACTTTTCTTTTATATTTTTCTTCTCAAACACTCTTCCAAGGCTACACTCAACCCAATACAATTCCATCTTCTTTCCCATGTTTCTAATCGAGGTTCTACAATCCGTACGCGTCTTCACCACGAACTCGAGCTGCAAAACCAGTGAGTCAGAGCTATGTCGCGACGAGTCAACCGCGTTAGTTCTAAAATTCGTGGCGATGGCATCAATTCTAGTAGCGGGATTTTCCGGAATCGCGATACCGCTACTAGGAAAGCGGCGGGGATTGTTGCGAGGCGACGGAGATATTTTACCGGCGGCGAAGGCGTTTGCGGCGGGAGTGATATTAGCGACGGGGTTTGTTCACATGCTTAAGGACGCGTGGGAAGCACTGAACCATAGTTGTTTGAAAACTTACTCGCACGTGTGGTCCAAGTTTCCATTTGCCGGGTTTTTCGCGATGGTGGCTGCGTTGTTTACTCTTTTAGTTGACTTTATTGGAACACAATACTATGAAAGAAAACAAAGGGTTACACGTGGCGGTGTGGCCGTGCAACACGGAGAGGTTGTTGATGCGTTGGAGGAGGAATTGTTGGGAGAGGAAATCGTGGAAGTTAAGGAAGAGAGTAGTAGTGGCGGTGGGATGCGTGCACATGCGTCAAACCATGGACATTCCCATCAGAACCATGATGATCATGATGACGTGGAAGGTAGTATCCGCCATGTGGTTATTTCGCAGGTAACATTATTCTCGACTTTCTTCCTTGCGTTGCTCTTGCTGCTACTTCTCTCTCTCATAATAAATTTCTGATATATGTATGTAGGTATTAGAACTTGGAATAGTTTCACATTCCATGATAATTGGGTTATCACTAGGAGTTTCACAAAGTCCATGCACAATGAGACCCTTAATTGCAGCACTATGCTTTCACCAATTCTTTGAAGGATTTGCACTGGGTGGATGCATATCAGAAGCCAAATATAAGACATCATCGGCAACAATAATGGCATGTTTTTTTGCACTAACAACACCACTTGGTGTTGCAATAGGGACATTAGTTGCCTCGAATTTCAATCCTTATAGTCCAGGATCTCTTATAACGGAAGGTATATTGGATTCTTTTTCAGCTGGAATTTTAGTGTACATGGCTTTGGTGGATTTAATAGCTGCTGATTTTCTTAGTAAGAGAATGCGTTCTAGTTTTAGGCGTCAGATTTTGTGTTTTTGTTTGCTTTTCCTTGGGGCTGGATTTATGTCATCACTTGCACTTTGGGCATGATTCTATTCAATTTTATTGTATTATGATTATAATGAAATGGAAATAGCCTTCATAACTTCAATATTTTGCACACACTTTGGCAGCCCCTCCTCCAGCAACACATATAGGCTTTAGTTGTGTAACTAACTCTTTATTACTTTTGAATTATTGTTCAAGAAAAAATACCAGACCTTGTGAGTTGCATTACTTGAGAGTGAAACATCTAAGATGATGGAACTTATGTTGAACTTATAAATTATTTCTTATTTGAGCTATATATTTTCTCCTATATAAAGGAGTCTTGAGCACTTTTCCAAAAATACAAAAATCCAATTTACTACTTCTCTTTCTCACTCACTTTCTTCATATAAGCTATTTTTATACACTAATCATTATCTTAATGCTGAAAGAGTTAAAGATTTAAATCAAGAACTTAATTTTCTTGTAACATTGCAAGAGATATAAAGGTTGTGAGATTAACTTGTGGAAAAGAATGGTGTAAGGAGGTAATGGGATGAACCCGGTGTACAAACCAGGCTAAAGTCGAGTTGGTATAAATTCTGTTATAATCTCTAACTCTTTTTACTTTTATGTTGGTGTAACTTATTTTCTGCTTGAATTTCTTTACTTTATCTCTTTTTTAAAACCGACAACCATAAATCAATAATTTGTGAACAAAATTTTCAAAAATCATACAACACAATTCACTAGGGGAAGCAAATAAGCACGTTCGCTCCGTTTAAACTCATCTTACAAAAGTCTGCAAAAATTCAAGATAATACAGATCGTGTCAAGTGTTGTTGAGGGGACATATGTCTAAAATTTTGACTCTCCCCATAAAAAGATGAGGGTGGGGTGGGACCTCCACCTTTAATGTCTAAAATTTACAAAAAAATTTAAGTTAGTATCGGTGCCCGCAAAAATCTGCAAAAAATTAGGCGGGGCGGGATGGAGCAGACAAATTAGAGGGTGCATACTTAAAATCTTGTTCCATACAATAAATATTGCAGGTAAAAATAGGCATGTCTTACGAGTCGAATCCGTTTTGTTATCTCTATAACTCATCCATTCCTTGTATTTGAAATTACTTGATCAACAAGTGACATTAGAGTCTAACTCTAATTACAGGCCTAATTGTCTCGGTAGAAAGAATGATGACTTCAAATACTTCTCAAACCTTCCCATGAACACAAGAATGCAATTTTATTAAAATCTTTGATTTTGATATTTAGAATGCTATTAAGTATCAGCATGTTATTCCCGCTAATTTCATAAATAATGATTAGGATTATTCAAAAAACTAAAAACTAAACCGTCAAACCGAAGTTAAAATAATCAAACTGGTATATTTGATTAATAAACCAAACTATATTACACAAATAATTCTAGAATCGAATCGAAATTGAAATCAAACTTAACCAAAATTGAAACCGAATCAATCAAAACTGAAAATGAAAAATGATAAAAATAAATTTTAATCTAAAAAAAAAAAGTTTACGGTTGAGTTCTTTAATAAATGATTCGGTTTGAAAAAAATTGTCTTCCAATTGCTCGGTACAATTCAAAATTTTAAAACGATATACTAAATTAATAATTTTGGTTCAATTTAATTCTGAATAATTTAAAACGGTCGAGTTCAGTTTGAATGAACTTTTACCGTAGTTTAATTCGATTTGATTTAATTTTTTCTTTGAAGTGTACCATGAACCATTCTAATAATAATGTAATAAATAAACCAAAAAATTAATGAACCAAAGAGAAAAAAAGAAAAACTGCAACACATTTTAAAAGTCAAATACTTAATAATTAGCGTATTAAGAATTAAAGAGTAAAATCATGTATTTAACTATAAAATTGCCAAGAAAATACAAGATAGCGTTAAAATGTTATATGAAGATTCTAATGAGATTGAAGAGGTACTTATAATAAAGTTGATATATATTTTTAATTTATTAATAATGCCAAGTATTTTAATAATGTCTTCATTGCTATAAAGAAAATAAATCATACCGATTTTAAATGTAATTATTATGATAGAAATGATCATATTTCTTCAAATTATTTCAACAAAATTCACGACTTAAAGTGGACTCATATATTTTTAAATCCACTAATATAAAAGGACCCAAAATTATTTAAGTATCAAAGATTAAAAAATAGAGTTACTTTCAGTGTCAAGTTCTAAACGTGAAAATAAAAATGGTTGTCCAAAATATTTATCTAAAAAACTCAATGGATTTTTATCTTCAGCTCCAATATGGAGAGATTAAACTCTTTATGAAGAAATTTTCAGAAGGATTCTTAGAAAGAAAGATCTAGAGAAAGAAATTAAAAATGCCCCTCATATAAAAAAGAACAGATAAATTCTAGAAAAAGAGAAAATAACTCTCTAAATATTTATGTAATAATAAAGGTAAGTCACTTGTTAGAAAATTAATTAGGAAAACTCTATTTTCTTTTCTAGCAAGGGTTGATTATCATTGTAGTCATTTTAAATCATTTTATCACTAATTGAGTGTATAAGTGAATGTTAAAAAGAAAATGGATCAAGAAAATAATACGGACGTGTAAATAGATAGCTCGATCAAAAGTCATTTAAGACCCAAAAAAATATATGAATGTTGAGATTCTCTCATTCGAATCAATTATACCTTATGGTTAATCGATTAGAATCTTTTAAAATTTAAAATTCAACGCTTGTTAATCAATTAGGCAAGAGATTTAATTGATTAAATTTTCAAATATTGTAAATGCTTTCATTTGCCAATCAACTAATCGAGTGTATATTTAAGCCCGAATCGATTAAAAAAACTTCTAATCGATTAGAATCTATATAAAAAAAGGTATCTCCATCTCCTTTTTTATCACTCATATATTCTTCTATCTTCTCAGTTATCTAGCTAACTTTCTTCTACTTGTTTGTGTTATCTCATCATCATCAAATGACATAAGAAAGATTCCAAACCTCTGCATGTACATCGTAAGAAAATAATGAGTTAGATGATTTCTCATCTCAAATTCAAGAGAAATACTCCAATAAGCATTTTCTCATCCACTATGCTCTCAAACCACACTATGTTGATGAGATCTATTTTAAAAGTTTTGAATTTTTGGAGTATTCTGTTCAATTAACCTCAAAGACTTTGTCTATAACAGGCTAAAAGAAGTGTATTCGAGGCTAGTGAAGAATGTTCTATGCAAATCCCAATTACAAAAAAGGAATGATCACTTTAGAGATACGTAAAGTCCCATTCTCTCTATCGAAGAGTGGGGGTGGGGGACTTTGTGATTTACCCTCCGATGAAACTCTCCATTCCTCTAATGCTCTAAATGAAATTGATAACTTCAAAATTCTCATTGCTACTAAATCTCTTCTTTCTGATCCAACACCATGTCATGTGGTCTCTTTCACAATGAGATACATGACTGTGACTTATTGGCTCATTTTCTACATGATATCCCATATGCTTATCCCGAGGAAGTTGCACCATAAAGAACTATTGAAGATTAATTTGTGGCCACTTGACTTCTAACGCACAATATTGTGATCAACTAGGTCAACGAAGTAATCCAACATATATTGGATTGCACAAGGGGGGTGGGACTACTTGGTTTCCTTATGGAGATTTATTCACTAGTATTTCGGTTCATGCTAGATTTAATCTAGAGGGGAGAAGAGCCTTATTCAAGCTTCTCAATATACCTAACTCAGTGTAATAGTCTAGTTAAGCTCATGTATGTATCTAACTCAATATTATAAATAAAATAAATCAACTCAAAAAATATTATTTGCATTTCAGAATAAAGAAAGATATCAAAGAAATAGGAAAATCTTTCCCAAGTCACCTACGATTCACGAAGGTCGAGAGTATCATTATCAGTCAAAAGCACATGGAATTTGACAATTTAACATTTTTTCGTGTTTTATGTTTGTAACGCCACAAACTAAAATACTTATTTTTATGAAGGCATGATCAAGGGCATTAGTGCAAATGTGGATAAGAATCACAAAATGTCAATCACAGAGAGAACGAGTCAAATATGATGGCATCACATACACCGAAGAACACATAGAAAAACATGTATTATCCACATAAATTGGTGATTGACATCAAATTTTATAAACAATGATGCTTTGGTCATTAGAACTATATTTGTCTAAAAACGCCTTATTATACAATTAATTTCAACTCACACAATCAATTAAACAACTTTTTCTTGTAAATTTATCTTTTATTTTTCCACTTTTACTTATGCATTTTTTAAATTTAATATCTCACAAAAAACTCAACTGCCAACATAGACAAGAAACATGGTTGGTTTTTGACGGTTTGAAATGAAAAATGAATAACAATTATGAGTTATTAGCCGATTCTTCGACTAATTTTTAAATTCGAGAACATATACACTCTAATAAAATAATTTATAATTTTTATTTTTCATAAAAAAATATGTTTATGTAAAATTGTGCAAAATAAATATAATTAAAAATAAATAAATCTTTTGGTACTCATAAATTTTGATTAGATATTAGTAGCTTTAGTGAAAATTACTTTAAAATTTATATTTATTTTAAAAATAATAATATATAAAGTGATATGACATTAAATAACATTTTGATTAAATGATGAATTAAAATTGAATTAAAAAATATCATATTGTTCACCAATTAAAAAAAGAACCAAGCTATAAATAAATCATCCTCATGTGGAGAATTTAAACGGTCAATTATGAGCTTTTTTAAAAAAAAGAGATTAGAATGATTGAATCATTTTGAAAATCAATAATTTCACTATAACAATGTATAAGAAATGAGAATTAAAAAAATATCATTGCAAAAGAAATTTGAAATCCACACGTCACCATGATAATGATATTTAAATTAAATTTCTCATTCGCATTCACTTTATTTGTATATCTAGAGACAATAGTTAAAACTAGAGTAAACAATAGATAACGATAACAAGCTTCAATAAAAATTACCACCATTGAAAGTTGTTTCTACTATTATAAACTCCAAA